CACACCATACACAGACGCATACAGACATATATTCACTCCAATTTGCAATGGCGAGTTAACTCGTCAACATATGTAATTTTGTGGTTATTGCTGCACAATAAATACATTTCGTCTGGCTTATGGGGCGTATGATGAATATTGCAAGGCATAATTGGCGCTTAAGCAACACGAGCGCTGAGGTTTTTATTATTTTTAAACACAGACACTGACACACACGCATCTATGTATATTATATGCACATATATATGTATAATTATTGTAATGTATATTTAACAGACATTCTGTCTAATTGTTTCGTAATAGTGTACAGCATGTAATGGAGAAGTGGTTATGAAAGCTTTCAGCTGGAAATATGAAACGCAAGCTTGGGTTTCGTTTTTTTTTTGCATAATGAGCTGATTTGAGGAAGTATTTTAAATCAATAAATTTCTGTTTTTCTGTTTCCAAGCATTTTCTAGCACTTTACATAATTGTAGAAAAAACTGTAGAAAAATTACTAAAATGTATATAGAAACAGCTTGAAGTAAGGTGGTTGTTGATTATTTAAAAGCTTTTTAAAGTTATCGAAGTTAAAAAATAAATTCTAGTATGTGCAGGCCTGTTTCAAATACAATGAAAATTTACGTCTTTTAAGTTTTTCCTTCCCTTTTTAAGTTTTTCTTTCTGCATTTAAATGATTGTACGTATTGCTTTTTCTTTGAGGGAAATTAAGCGCCATTCGAGAGCTTTCTTATGTAATAATTTTGTTTTTAGTTATTGATGTGTTCTAATTATTATCTATTTAGAAGCATATGTTGCTTATGATTGCGGAAAGCGTTGGTATGTCCTATACTTTTGTTTGAGGGACTGCTTTCGGAATGGTTATTATTAATTATTCAGAAAGTGGTGGAAAAAACGGTAATCTGGAATGTATGTTTCCAGCTAGACTTTCCAAATTAAAAAAAGAACAAAACAGATTCTCTGTTATCTACAAAAGTTGAAACAGGTCTGAACATTTAAAGAGTTTTACAAGCCATGAAAATAAATACCCTATCCTACAGAGATCCTACAGAATATGGTGATGTGCTTGCATTTGTTATATACGAATATATAGTACGTATGTACATCTTATATGTGCTATGAATGCGCAGAACGTGTTTTCTGTTGATTGAGCATTGCATTTTAGACTAACTAATGTTTTGTTTTTGGTTTAGTAACATGTCGTATTTAGTTGTATTTATCGTTAACTAAAAATGTTATGACTTAATTATGTATGACAGTTTTGTTTTTAAACATTTATTTAAGCTTTTGTTAGTACTAACGAATATAAATAAATATAGTATATTTGTATATTAGTTAGGTGTTTGGTGTTTGTGTTTTAGTTGGGATTGTGTGTTAGTGTGTGTGTGCGTGTGGTAATAGAACAGTGGGACAATTTAACGGGTGCCAACAAAGTAAAATTTGCTAATACCTTGCTCTAGCATTTAACAGTTACTTGTTGATATAAGTATGATATATATTTTCTTTTTGTGTTTTTTTTTGTTTTTTTTTTGTTTTGTTTTTATTGTTGATTTATATATGCGTCTTCTTTATTTAGCATGTTTTATTTAGTACGAGGGATTTGATTTCTCATGCACAATACTTGAAAATCTATTTTGCCATTGGTTTGTGTTTTGTTTTGCAAACTACGACAAATACAACAGAAACGTTTTGTTTTTTTGTTTTTAGCGGCTAAATAAATTCAAGTACTGAACGTCTAACCAGAAATATTACACCAGCATATTGTTGAACAATTTTTCTAGTTGTCTTTCGAAATCGAGCAAAATTGTGCTCATTAAGCAATCGCAAACATATTTGTATGTATTCTATTTTCTTCTTTTCTTTTTTTTTTGTTTTTTTTCTTGAGCTGTTGTTTCAAACAAACTACTTGCATAACATTCTGGTTAAACAAATATATTTTAGTTTTCGGAGTTTAGTCAAAGAGATATTATTTAAGCTATACGGCATGAATTAATTTAATTGAGTTTTTTTGATTTTGTTTTCTTTGATTATTTGGCGATTTTTAGGTTATGTTAGTTATAAGTATTAGAATGGTACGTTCGCTTAGCATTACGAATCCAATTACAATGTGACGCCCACATAAACGGCAAGCTGACAATGTACAGTCCCACTAGACACCACTGCGTGTAAACTACTCTTATTGAAGTAAACAAAATGTAGGCATGTTTACGTTGAAGTGAAGTTTTTCGCTTTGTTTTTGCAAATTTCATCTGTTTGTTCAACATAAACATCGAGGGCAAATCATAAGTGGGTAACATTGAAGGGTAAATATTTAGTTGAAACGAAAAACTTAAGGATATCAAGTATATGTTTTGCTATCGCATTAATAGACACACAAACAATAGCGAGTGGATTATGTGTGATAAGTATGCTTTAAGTATATTGCACATACGTTAGCTTTTTTGATGGTATTGGTTTAGGTTTTATTTTTATTTTTTGTTAATAAGGCATATACAAACAGTTTTATATGCAATCAGTATTGCTAAATGAAAAACACAAAATAACTTTAACGGAACTAAGTAATTAACTCAACAAACGCATATCTTTGTTAACAAATTAGTTGGCTAGATACATTTAGATGCAATAGAACTCCTATATTCGCATATTTGTATATTGTTAGAATTGCTTTTTTAAGTCTATTACAAATTAGAACTAAAGAGAGACAAAGAGAGTAAACCACTGCTTTTACAAAGCTCTGGCAATTAATCATTGTAAACAAAGTCATTTCATATGAAAAGATTGTGACTTGTTCAGAAATAGAGACGGATATTCTTATCAATTGCTTTAACAATTATATTTCAAATAACTTAAAGGCAATGAGATAAGATCTTAGAAGAAGAAAAGCATTCTTTAGTAGAAAAGTTCAAATAACAGCAGCAAACTATAACAGCTATTTTAACGGTTTTTTTTCCTGTCGGTGTAAAATGTCGACCAATCAGCTCAAAATAGTGCGAGGTATATTAAAGGGTCGTATTGTAACAATTACCCAGCAAAGAGGAGAACAAGTGAACAACAGACTGGCACGGGTTCTGTACATGTGTTCGACAAGCGCACACTGAAGGTGGAGAAATGGTTTGTCAGGCATATTGAGAACATGATGAAAGGTGTCACATTCGGTAGCCAGTACGAAGTGTCTGCTGTATATGCTCATTTGCCAATTAACTGTGCAGCCTTCGAAAACAACTCGCCGTGTGGAGATGGCACTCAACAGCCAAAAAGGGCATGCTTTTTGTGGAAGAGCAATGTATTGAGGCTATATCAGGTTTGAAAGCACTTATCCAGCTGCCGACTACTGTTAAAAAACAAAGAGAATATTTGTTGTTTCTATACAGTCTTTGTGTTTTTGAAAACACTATAGCTGTGGAGCTAGAAGCTTAGAATTGCATAGCAGTTTGATCTCAATACATAAAGAGAAAGTTAAAAGCTGGCTGTTAACAGCAATCGGTTGACAGAATCAGCTTTGCCTACATTTTATGTAAACTTTAATTGCTCTTTTAAAAACAGGCTGTACAAATTGCAGCATTTCTGTAAAGCTTAACAATGCAATGTCAACAATTTTGCAGTGTAAAGTCGTATGTTTTCTAAAGTTAAGCAGACTTAAAAGAACTTAATTTTGAAAAATTCGTCATAAAGTAGGGTGATACTAAGTATTTTAATAATATTTGATCTCAAAAGCTGACTGTTAACAGGAAGTTTGACATCTGAATCTGATTCGATTATAGTCTATGTAAAGTTTATCAGCTCTTCTAATAGCAGGCTGTACAAATTGCAGCATTTCTGTAAAGCTTAACAATGCAATGTCAACAATTTTGCAGTGTAAAGTCGTATCTTTTCTAAAGTTAAGCAGACTTAAAAGAACTTAATTTTGAAAAATTCGTCATAAAGTAGGGTGATACTAAGTATTTTAATAATATTTGATCTCAAAAGCTGACTGTTAACAGCATCTGAATCTGATTCGATTATAGTCTATGTAAAGTTTCACAGCTCTTCTAATAGCAGGCTGTACAAATTGCAGCATTTCTGTAAAGCTTAACAATGCAATGTCAACAATTTTGCAGTGTAAAGTCGTATCTTTTCTAAAGTGTAGTAGACTTAAAAGAATTCAATTTTGAAAAATTCGTCAAAAAGTAGGGTGATACAAAGTATTTTAATAATATTTGATCTCAAAAGCTGACTGTTAACAGGAAGTTTGACATCTGAATCTGATTCGATTATAGTCTATGTAAAGCTTATCAGCTCTTTTAAAAGCAGGCTAAACAGTTTACAGTGCAATGTCAACAATGTAGCAGTGTTAAGTCGTATCAATTCTAAAGTGTAATAGACTTATAAGAGCTCGGTTTTAATAACTTCGTATAGTATATTATTAAGTATTTTAGTAATATTTATTTCGAATCAAAGTTCTATTGCGCCTAAGTAAAGCTTATAGCCGAATAGCTCTATACTCGCAAGTAAACTTGCTCTTTATAGGCCACTAAAGGCTACATAACGCATAAATATACGAGTATATGAATATATATATTTTTTTCATTTATAAACACAAAGCAAGTGCACAATCCAACTACATTTAAATAAGTATCAACTCAAAACAGAACTATAACTATTAACTAAGAACAAAAAACAATAAAAATAATAATAATATTGATCCTGCTACGGATCAGGCACTATAAATATAGTATGTATTGAAGTAGATTTGCTTTCAGTTAGCGAAGCACAAATCGCTTAACTTACCGCTGATTCAGTAATGAGTTTTACAAAATATGTTAAAGCTATAAAGATTGTATCTGTTTTTGTTGGTTATACCTAGTTGGTAGACTGTAGTATTGACATATGAGTAGACCTTAAGACTGCTCTATTAGCTGTATATTTGTAGCGCATAATCAATATCTCAATTTTGATCGGATTAGTCTTGGTTATAGTCATTTATTAAGCTGCATTATTGCAACAAAACGTGGACAACTTACCTATTGTACATGAGGACATCGGGCTTCCACAGCTTGTTTGGCGTAATGCGCAGATCTTTGACGTTGCCATATTCTGTTTCATTCCAGCGCAGATTGTAATCATTCCATTCCTTGTGTTTTTTGAAAACATATATACAATTGAAATGTTAGTAAGAGACATAATGATGCTTTCTGTAGTTATAGGCTAGCAATTATGATGACTGAACAGCGTCTGTTGTGCAAGAGACGCTGTTCGAGCCTGGAGAAAAAAACCTAGCAGTTAAATGAAAATGCGACATAAGTTGCAGTGAAGATACAAAAGTTGTTGGATTGGGAAGACTGGGAGAGCGGGGGAATGCACACAAGAGCTGATAAAAATGAATTTAAAGCGTAAAGCGTGCAGCAGGCATTACATACATATTTCATTACAAAGTACAGTTGCGCGCAATGCTGTTAGTGAGTGAATGTTAAATTACAGACAAAACAACAACAAGCTGTTACGTCAGGCAATTCTACAAATGCGAGTACATGCTGGATGCTGCATAAAATAAAACTTGACATTTTTTTAAGTCAAGTCTCTGAGTATGCACATATATCTGTTTTCTCTTATACACACACTCACACACACACACACACACACATCACACACCCGCAGATGTCGCTGCAGTCCGCCAACATTCCGTTAATGTTGGTCTGATCCGTTACTGCCCTCTCCCGCTCCCGACTCACTGCTTTGTGTCACTTTGCGGTTATGTGTCGCTGTTTATCTCTGTCTATCCTATGTCCTCCAACCTCTGCCCGTTGTCCCCTGTTCCGAGTGTCTCTCCCTCTCACCCACAACATTCCTATCTTTGTGTGCTGCATTTTGTGGCTTGCCTACAAGTGGTTCCATGTTCATGTCATATAATCAGCAAAGTTTTCCCTCTGTTTAGCTGTTGCTCTTGTCGTTGTGGTTGTTGTTTCTGCTGCTGTTGTTGTTGTTGAGTTTATAATTTAACACATTTGTGGCATTTTTAGAGCATGCAATTGTCTTGTCCTTTCTCATTCGCATTCACATTCGCAGTCGCAGTCGTATTCACATTCATATTCTGAAGCCACAAAGCAGCCTTTTTAAAATCACAAAAAATTTAATTACATGCTAGACTTTGCATTCCCCGTTTTGACTTTAAATTTAAATACACATACATATGTATGAGTACATGTGTGTATTTAAATATTTTATTTTGTTTTTCATTTGTTTGTCTGCTGCTGCTATTATTGTTCCATGCGGTTTTTATGACAGCTGTAAAAACAGTTGAAGATTGAAGTGGCTTTTCCAAATGGGAAAAGTATTTTACAGCTCGTTTTGCCATCTGAGATGGACACTCCACATACATACATATGTATGTATAAATACACGTGTAAATAAAGGTATACATGACAGTGCTAACATGATATAATTAAGCAGAGTATTGCGTAACGAAATAGTGAATTTAGTTCGATTGCCACAGAGGGGCAATAATGTTTATTAAAGATTAAAGATATTAGCATTGTCACCTTAATTCTCCTCATTGTTATTATTTCTCCAAGCTATGGCCCACAAATGCCATTACTTTATGTAATGTAGATAGAGTTGAGTTGTTTAATGTTTTTCAAAACTAATATTGACTTCGAAGAGCTTATTCTATTTGTCAGAGTGAATTATTTATATTCTTTGTAAATATGAAAATAAAGTTACTGCTTTAAAACATTAATCAATTTAAATGTTGCCTCCCAAATTATTCATTTCCAAATTTAAAATAGTGTTAAAGATTCTAACAATGTTGTTTTATAAAGCATCAATAAAATGTCAACTAATCCTAATCGCAAATCCTCATTAGCAACACAAGCGGAGTAGATATACGAAAAATTGATTAATTATTTCGTATAAATCAGTATCACTTATTCATGTAATAAAATAAAAATGATAGATACTTTTATATTTCGATTGCTCTAAGAACTTCGTAGTTACCGCCATGCTAACAATAATTTTGATAGTTCAGCTTTTTAGACATGAAAGCTAACTGAGCCAGCTAATCCATAACAATAAATATACATTATCGACTAACTTTACAACTGTAATGCATAGCTATGTATATAGCTATATAGACTTTTGGTTTATGCACCACTGTAGCAATCAAAATATCGTATGCATATTTTACACTTTGACATTTATCGGCTGTCCTTCGGTTACACAAAATTTAAATTACAAATGTCCGTTGATGATGATGATGAAAATTTACCAACATTCGTACGCAATTTCAAACTGTCAGTTTATCAATGGCATATGGCCCCATCAATCATATTGTGGCTAAAATTCGATGGCGTGACAATGCCAAGCGAATGGCAATGGTGAGAATAAATGGCTCCCACAACCAATTACAAATGGGCCTTGGCTTAAACATTGAGCGCCAATACATTACACACACACACACACTTGCGTACGCACAACACACTTTTAATAACAATTTACGTGTTAAATAAATAATTTAATTAATTTCATAAATTGACAAGCCACGACAAGTGCAACGAGCTTGGTCGGAAATAGGTGTGTATGGAAAAAATTGTGTAATATTTCCCCTTGCACTTCCGTTCACACACAGCTATACATACTGTAGCTTTTATTATTTTTAATGAATGAGATAAGCACAGCCGCACCCTCCTTCTTCTTCTCTCTCTCTCTCTCACACACACACACATGCAATTGTTATGCAATAACATTTTGATGGCTTAACAGGAGCCAGGGCAGCAGGCTGCAGGCTGCAGGCTCTTCATTCGATCAACTTAAAAGGCACGTTACGAACACGTACTACGTTATTAAACAAATGCAAGGCATGCACTACCCTATATGTTTAATTTTTTTTAACATGCAGTGTTGTGGTTTTCTTGTTGTTGTTGTTGTTGTTGTTTTTGTTATTTATAGAACCGTTTTTGTTTGTTTGGCTTTGTTTACGTGTTGGTTTTTAGTTGCTCTTAAAAAATGGCAAAGCAAGAGAGAAACTAAATTTGTTGCCGTTTAATATTTTTATTTTATTTTTTTTTTGAAAATGTTAAAAGCTAGAACTAAAATGAAATAAAGTTGATAAGAAAAACCTAATCTGCTACTTAAAAATAAATGCAATGGAACACAAGAGAGAGTAGTTTTAGGTTTAGCTATCAAGGTAAGTATGTATGTATGTATGTATTTATGTATGTTTGTTTGTTTGTTTGTTTGTTTGTAGGTGTGTGAGTATGGAAGTAGTAGTTCTGTTGTAGCTGTTGTTAATAAAGCGTATTTATTTAAACAGTTAGATTCGTATTTAATTGCAATTTAAATGATTACGTTTAAATAATTTAAAACACACACGAGCTAAGCCACACATTCAAAAGAAATTCCATTATCATTGCAAAGTCTGCAAAGTTTGTACACAGTTTGTGGAAAATAGTTTTAGATTTAGACAATTAATTGAGAGGAATTTCTTTCTCTCTGAAGCTTAAAAACATACGAGTATTGAAAGATTTGAAAAAGATAGGCTCGCCTCTTGAAGACAAAAGACAGCAGATCAGAGAGTTCAACATTTGAGTTTCAACAACAGGCATTCATGGTCAGATGGTGGCCGTGTGTGTCTAAATTATGGGCAGGCAATACATTTTGTTAGCTATATATAGACCAGTCAGACTAACTACAGTAACTCCATGTATAGCTAACAAATGAATCTTAGTTTTATTTATGATATACATGGTGTTTAAAGCATGAGATATTATTTAAGATACAGCTATATTTAGATAAGGTTTTTATGTTTATGGGTTTTTCAGTTTAAGTTCAAACTTACCAACGAAAGCCAAAGATTCGTTATAAGAAGTTGATTTTTCTCGTCCTACAAACGCATTTTTGTTCATAAAAATAAACGTTGTTTTTGTTTGAAGAAACGCAAAACAAAACGAAAAGCAAAAAATGAAGATAATGCCAAAAAAAAAGAAATGAAATGAAAATTAAATTTATAAAAAGAGCAGAGTATGATAATAGAAAGTTTTTTTTATATATTTGTTTAATGAGTTCATAAGAGAATTTTTGTTTTCATTTTTGTTTTTTCTTTTTTCTTTTAGGTATGTGTTTATGGCAATAGTTGTTCGAAATATAAATCAAGTCTTTCCACTGTACGCAGTTTGGCTTTAATGGGCTTTAAAGTTGGTGCTATTTGCATTGGTAAGTGTGTATTTTGTTAGTACTTATTACTAAGTTTTAAAGTGGTCTAAATTTTTATTAGTTATATTAATTTTTTTAATTTTTCTAATATTTTTTCCCCAAAAATATAATTGAAAAAAAATCTATAGATCAGTTGAGAAATACCAGCTTCAATAAGTAAGCCCAGCAGGAAAAGTATTTTGTTGCGAATGATGTGTGTATTAGAAATATTACTAATTACTATTATTATTAGGATTTTTATCGAACAAATTCCTTAAGTTTTTTTATGACTGTCTAGCTCTTAGATAGCTAGCACTATCTCAACTATTTGCATTGCAAGTTATTCTTTGGCTGAGTACCTAAAATATTCAAATCTTTCGTTGCTTTACGGCTAAGCAGCTTTTTTTGTGCAGTGTCCTCCAATTTGTGCAAAGGCTTAAGCAGAGACACTCAAAGCAAATGAAATGATATCAAAACTTTGTTAGGATAAGCATATGTATGTACTATATATACGAGTGCTCGTAGTATGTGGATGTCCAGAGAGCTGGTAGCCAATGCCGCAGGCTTGCACTGGCCTGTCAAAGCGCCTTGATTCGAATCCCTTTTCAATCTAGGCGATGTCTGTGTGAGTGTGTATTCTTCCCACTTCTACTCATCGCAGCTAGGCTTGGCCATTGAAGCATATGCTTAAGCCTTTGTCCAATGTGCCGAGCCGGTTTGCCAATTTATTTTACAATTTTTGCCTTTATCTGTGGTGCAGGCAATAAAAACTTTGCGACTAGGTTGGTCTTAGATATCAGAACCCATTTATCTTTATACAAATTTTAATTAAAGATATTTCATGCTGGTGCATTGTCACAGTCCTGACTGACAGACAGACAGACAGACAGACAGACAGAGAGACAGGCACGTCTGTCACACAGTCAGTCAGTCATGCAGTCAGTCCATCCGTCCATCAGTCCGTCAGTTGGTGAGGCAGTGACAGAGCCCGCATGATACAAATTTAATATATGTAGTTCAAGGTGGACATGTAGCGCTTTCTCCTCGTTTGTAATGCAGATGAAGGCGAACAGCCCACCATTCCACCATGCCATCAAGCCGGCATCTGCATATGAAAGCTGATGTCGTTGTGGCACCATACTCGTGCCATACATCCTATGTATATAGTATAGCTAGGTGCTTGTCATTAATAACTTGGCAGTGTAAACAACAAAAAATCGTTAACAACGGGCGGTAGCAGCTGCAGTAACGACTTAAGCCATTAAAAGATACATGCACGATGGCATTGGGCACTTGTAATGATATGCACAGCAAACGGCAATACGGCAGCACGGCAAACATCAAACCCTCGCAGCACATTGGCACTTAAGGTTTTCGGTTAAGCTAATATACGAGCAGAAGCGAGGGTTCAACCAAAAAGAAGTGTGCGTTACAATTTTCCAATTTAAATTTCTGAAAATAAATAAAACCATCTGGCTGTAGAAGGTCGCGCATTAAAGTTACCTTCTTTGGAAATTAAAGGGGGCTTTCATATTTTAGAAGTGAAACTTCTTATGTGCGGGTTTTCAATGCTGGAGCGTCAACCTTTTCTGTGACGAAACCAAAAGCGCGGTAACAGTCGTAGATAAGTGAACAGCAAGTAGACCAGCTTGAATTTATGAATGTAAACAAAAACCAGCTCTAGTATGAACTTTAAAATCCGAAATGTAAACAAACTGTAAACAAACTCCTATTGCTCATATTCCATAACAACTGATTGCATGATTCTAATTGTAAAATATATTATTTATGCCTATCTAGTAGGTCCTGATTTTTAAGAGTCACCATTTCTTGTGGTTTTCGGGTTTTCCAGGTTGGTTTTTACTGTGGGTTTTATAGCTATTAATAGTGATGTTTCTAGCCATTTTATAGTTTTTATGTCCGTCAATTTGTAGTGCATTTTCTAGCGGTTCTTCTAGCCATTGCGATACTCTACTTCTTGCCATTCTGGCTACTTATACATAGTTGTGCTTTTGGCTATTTTCTAGATCGTTTTCTTTTCTTATTGTCATTTTTGACGCGTTGTCTATCAATTTTATAGTAAATTTTTAGTGGTTGCTACTTATAGCTGATTTTCTAGCGTTGTTTCTATAGTTTTTTAGTTATTTAGGAATAATTTCTAGTAATTTTATAGCGCTTCATTCCATCAATTGTTAGTCGATTTTTTATTTTCTATTTCTTGCAATTTTCTGGCTATTTATACATAGTTGTGCTTCTAGCTATTTTCTTTATCGTTTTTTAGTTATTATTAGTTGTTCTCATAGTAATTTTTAGCGAGTTTTCTATCCATTTTCTAGCTATTTATATTTTTATACCCATTTTCAGTTGAGCTTCTAATTATTTATAGTAAGTTTTTAGTAGACTTTCTTGCCATATAAAGCTGATTTTCTAGCGCTGTTTTTAGTCATTTTTGGATTTTTGGAGGATTTTCTAGCCATTTTATGATTACTTATTGTTTCTAGCCCTTTTCTTCGATAACCAACAGCGATAATAATTTCAAGCCAAATGTACATTAGCCATCCACCTTTGTTGAGAAATTATAAAGGCAATCTTAACGATCGAAAAAAATGGACTTAAATTAAATTACTCCAAAATATCCACTAAGTTTCACTTCCATCTAATTTTTTTTTTATTCTCACAGACAATTCCTCTCTGAATTTCTAATATTTCTTCTACATTTGGTTGCCACAGTCGAAGCTATTTTACATCTTCTACATCTATTTTCTTACCGCAATATAATCGAATAAACTTATTTACGATTTGAAGTCGAATCGTTCTTAGCTGCTTATAACATTCTATTTTTTTTGTTCGGCTCTCGCAGTTGAAGACTTGGAAACAATTCCATAGGGGTGTGTGTTTTTGAACGTCAAAGTCAAAAGCCATAACGTGCACATACTCGTATGTGTATGTGTGTATGTGTGTGCTTATGTGTAGGAGTGTGTGTTGGCATATTTGCTGTTGACACCTTATAAAAATGGCAGTTTTGTGCAAATTTCATGTTTATGACATGCCGTTTTGCTTTGGCTTCTGGCTTGCCTCTTCCGTTGACAAAATGTGAACGCCTTCACGTCGCTCTGTGTGCTGCACATGCGACAGAACTGTCAAGTGTCAGAGGGAAGGCCCGAATGGCAGTCATTCAGTCCGTCAGTCTGTCAGTCTGTTAGCCGAAGCCTGCCTGCCACAAGCAATTTTTGTCGGGCGCAAGTTTTGGACGTCAAATGAGCAGCAGCAGCTTCAATCCTGTGCACTGTCGTTGACGCATACTAATGACATTTGCTTAAGCAGCAAACCGGGCTCAAGAAGCTACAACAACAACCACGACAACAAGAAGAAAAAAGAAACTGTAGCATAAAAATTTTAAACATCATTTGCTACAAATGACATTTGCATTTAATGCTCACACTTGCCAGCAGTCGCAGCAACTTAATCGCGTAATGTGTTTATATATATATATAGTATATATATGTATATATTTTACTTGCGAACTTCGCTGCACGTCTGCCAGACACACACATATGTACAAGTATGTACATATATCTGTATCTTAAGCAGGCGACGAGTTTTTCCTCGTGTTGTTGCTGGTGTTGTTGATATTGCTATTCGGCTTATAGATTTATTTTGCATTAACGTGCTAAATTGTTTTTAAATGAGTTTCTAATGAGCCAACAATTGGCGTTGTCGCCCGACTTTTATGATAAATGTTTGGCAACTTCTACGAGTACTCGTCTATGGTTGTGCTGGCGACATCCATATGCCAAAAATGCTATTCAAGGGCAAAGTTTGCTCGCAACGTACGAGTACAAGTATGTTGAGGCAAATTAGCAATCGATAAGTGCTTTGATACTGCAAACAAAACAACACCAAACAGTCCTCAGTCGTTGTGATAGGTTGGGATGAGCTGCGGGAAAAGTTCACAGGATGTGCTCTGCCTTAAGGGTGGCAGCTGTGCATTGGCTAAGGCTAAGGGTCTTCTTCTACATACGTCCTTTGATGAGCTACGGCAGTAGCCGTGGTCTCTGATGTCTGACAAACGAGTGCAATTCATCAACTCTCTCGGAGTGGGAAGGCGAGAAATTAAAGTAGGACTGGAAGGCCAAGCAACGAATGGAGGTGGCCGTCCAACAAACCTCATATATTACAGTAATTTCTTTTAAATAAAGTGGAGTACAGTAGCATACTAATTACATCCATGAAAAAATAGCGTTATGCTTAATTTCTCGAATAGTCTAAGCTTAAACAAGCCTCTATAAACAACCTGGTTCAGTAAGCTACACTTAAAAATTAACATGGGCTGAAATAAAAATCGCCTTCAAGTTTGTAGCTTACTGAGTAAAATACAAATAATCTTACTTTAGAAGAGTTGGATTTTCCGATCAAAACTGCATAATAAGTTCATTCTTTAACTGAGAAAACAAGCAGTAATACGGACTGTTTATCGATAGCGACACTAAAGGCATAGAACTATATGTATAGTACACATATCCAAGATAGGGTTCAGTCACTCAAAAAATTCTCCTAAAATTTATTAAATATACTTATTTATGATATCTATTGACAGTAGTACAAAGACCTCTTCAATTGAATTCGACTGAGTGCTGACTATTTGCAAAAGTATTAGTGTCACATATATTTTAAGTATTGAAGAAGAATCTTCAAACAAAACAGAAATAACGAAATACTATTTCAGATAGATTTCTTTTTTAATGAATTAAGTCACCTTTAATAATAGAGCAATAGAGCAAAGAAGCCAACGGAGTCTCCTAAACAAGAGAAGAAGAAAGTGGAAGACCATGGGTTGGTTTTAGAGCCATTAGGATTCTTTTTTCATGATCAAAGTCGTGGTTGAAAGTTTAAAAACAAAACAGAAAAATCATCAAAAATGCCAATTATTTCCCAAAGAGTAGAAGACTGTGGGTTCGGCTTAGCGATTCTTTGAAACAATATATATAAATCATTAAAGAAGTCCACGGAGTCTCCTAAAT